TTCATTTAATAATGGTTAGCTTACTATATTGGTGGTTTCTATGGGATCACCCTCGCAAATATTTTGTTTCAATGAATCAAATGTGTAGAAATGTACAGACTAGGTAGATCAGGGGGGCTAGTTAGTGAAGACTCTTAGCACCTTTGGTGTAGCCAGACGCTTAGATACATAATGTTAAATTGACCTTGTGACCTAGAAACGGACAAATTGGCCCGTCTCGATTCCAAGGAAAGCAATATCCTGTTTGTCTTGAAGGGAAACTGTGTTGCCTGTCACTTAATTCCATCAAGATTTATTCCTGACAATGGAACTATTTCCAGGCTTTTACTGTCCAAGACCAAACTGAATGGACTTTCTATTCTCCCGAGACGAGTATAAATTCTAAGGTATTTTGCTGGGATTGGCAAGATATAGCTGACTCGCTATATGATTTTGCCAGGTTTTTTAAATACATGTAGGGTCTTTGAGAATTTTGTAATCAGTGACGTTGTTAAGAATCATTATCTTAAGGGCCCGATCTTATCCACAGATATGCAGGTTGGTGGGGGAGGGTGGTTTCACGTTTCAGTGAAGTTAAAGCTGGGTCACCCGTATCTCTTCCTCGAAATCAAAACTTTAAGAAAACATTAGGTGACGTTTATATTATGAAATCAACTATTTGACGTTATGATGTTTAAATTACAAAATCAATAATTTTTCAAAACGAAATATTAAAAATTTTGAAAAAAAGATTTGTGACGTCAGTGTTGTTTTTTTAGAAAACCGAAACATTATCAAAACCAGTTGATGCCAGTCATGTCATGTTTAAGTTATAAAATCGAGGATAATTCAAAACGAATCATTATTCGAAAAATGACTAGTGACGTTAATATTATGGAATCACAGATTTAACAAAACGAAACATTATCAAAGTATAGCTCTCAATTAATGTCAACCTAGCCTAGCACTGAAACGTTGAACTTTGCTTTGGAGTTTGGAGAGTTGTTACAATAGGACGTTGGTCGAACGTCCCAATCTGGAATCATTCATACTAAGCCCAGCTCAGACGTGACAAATATCATTTCAACCTTCAGAAGTCAAAGATTATCTCATATCAAGAAGACTCTAACCGAATCCTTTCCACTTCAAAGACCCACTTCTTATTGTAATTACAGTTTAAATGTCTTTTGTACTCTTGTTCTGTTTGCGCCCACAAAGGTATACGAGTTTTGTACATTTCACCCTTGATCAATAAGCTGATGACTCTTCAAAGGAACATTGGATAAAGCAGACGTCATCGAGTGAGGTCAAAAGGTTAATTTTACGAACGTTCAAGAGGGCTGTCGTTAGACCCTAACTGAAGTTGCTATATTAAAGATAAAATCTAATACAAAAAAAATCGAAGGAGTGTTTTGTCTCCTTTTAAATAGACTGAAAAGTAGCCTAACCTATATTCGTCAGTATCCTGTATGAATATTTATGTTCTTAATAACTTCTTAGTTTAGGCATTCGTGATGGTTGACAGGAATCACTAAACTTCAATATTTTGCATCACTAGTTGCGTTATTATTTCTTATCTCGTGGGCTCGTGGTGGTGGACATTGTCGGTCACTGTGTTACATCTCTGAGGATTGGAATTTGATGATTTACGTAATGAAATGGAGTTTTACGTCAATATTTTTGTACCTTATTGCGTTAATTAACAGAATCTATTGGGAAAAGAACATTAATCAAATTCAATGAAATAGAAATGAAATGGTGTTGTATGTAATTTTTTTCGCCATGATCTTTGACCTAAGGGAATGAAACTGAGGTAACTCGGTCAACATCAAGTAGTGCGCAATAAGGGACATTCTGCTAGAAAAACGAAATTAGCTTATAGACAAGAGGTTTTAACGTGCAAAGCCTAGCACACGTGATTGGACGCTAGATTTACGATGTCTAAACACGGGGACCGTTATACGTCATCATATAATTCAGCCAATGAGGCATCAAATCAATTTGGACAGTAACCAATCACAGCTTGCGAGACAAAGCCGATTTTCTGACCTTAAATTGATATATGTTAGGTCGGAGGCTTTAGGCTAACTTGTCGTCCAAGACGAATATTCACCTCTCATGTAATTTAACCTGAACGCATGGACCTTCTTTACGTCATCATACGATTCAGCCAATGAGGCGTCAAATCAATTTTAATTGTAACCAAACACAGCTTTTGAGACAAAGCCCTGAAATTTATATAGTTAAGGTTGGGCGCTTCAGGCTGACTTTCATCAAAGACGAATATTAACGTCCCCTCTCCAACAAAATTAATCAACATTCGTCCTAATGAATAATTACACGACCCGATAATACACAAGACAGCTCAAGCCATAATAAGACTGGATTAACCTAGACTAATGATTAAGATTTGGTCTACAGGTACTAATGAAATGTCAGGGTTGAGAAAAAGGTAATTATTCTAGAAGCTTATTGATTTATCTCCTGTGTCTTCGTCTTAGTCGCTTCTAATTGTCCACATATTAGATGTTTCTTTCAGTCCCTTTTAGAATGAATATCCAACATCAAGTTCGTTTACAATAAAATGAAATTTTGTTTGAAATTGAAAACAAAATGGTCTGGTGTTTTTTGCCATTTCAATTTTTCAAAAAAATAGCCAGCATTTAGTTCGCCTACAATAAAGTGAAATTGTATTGGTGATAGTGACGCCGCGCTCTACATACTACGATATCTGGTGCATGTGAAAATCTTACCTTCTGAAACTTGTATCGTCGGTACGTTTCCAATTATATTGTAGACATACTAGGTGTCGGAATACTATAGTAGGAAACAAAATGCAATAAAATAAAACCGCACTAGAAGACAACGTTTCTGCTTATTACATATTTACGATATCAGTAATATCTGCATCTGCTACAGTTGGTAAGATATCAATTAATTGAAGAAGCACCGTGCGTTGAATTTGTATTCTGAAAAGTGACACTGACGGATGAAATGGAGATTAGTAAGCTGGTAAAGCAAAAATTTAAACGACTTTATTCCTTTAAACCAAATAATCTAATCTAAAATACCGCTACCTTTTTTTGTTACTTTATACTCTTCTAGACACCTGATACCACTTTTCATTTTTAAATACTTACTCACTTATGATTGATATACTTACTCATGTGAAAAGTTCATTAGCTGCTACCAATGTTTCGCCAATATTTTGTTTGGATTTTGGGTTTCGTTTTGTGGTTCGGGTCGTTGGTTTATTTATTTATACCGCTCCCTTTTTTGAACTTTATTAAACCGAGACTTAACCGATATAGAGCAATAGATTTCTACATAAACTAATTATCATCCCCTTTAACAAATCGAATATTTCAATTTACTATCGTCATCAACCACTTACTGCCACTCCGTACAAAATTAGGATTGACACATTCGTAAATATGAAACGAAATAATGATTATGTATCGTTAGCAGTTGAAATGAATACAAAGAATGTTGAAGGCATCCGACTGCGATGTAGAAATTTCGACGTGCATCTTTTGTTAAGGCGGAAATTGACATTGAAATAGCATGTTGTGACATGTTTCGCTGCTGTGAATGTCTAATTCGGTGTGGCTTTTTTTTAGATGTGGCAATCGTGGTTTTCAGTTTTTCAGTAACGAAAATTAGACCAAACTTTCGTTCCGTATTTTTATTAGCTTTTATTTGTAGGCTACTCAACCACTCTACTCCAAAGTTAAGGTGTAACAACTCTCTTCTTATTGTTGAAACGCGCTTTTTAATTGGCTGTGCTGAATTGGACAAGTGTAATTCGATTGGTTAAAGCAGGGGTCATCAGGTTAGGGAAAAGGTTATTCATATGAAGAAAAAACGAGGGTTAGTTAGACCCATCTTGAGTGGTTAAGTACAAATTTAAGCCAATATAAAATAGAAAGAAAGTTTGGTCTGATTTTAATTCGCCTGTTATGTACACAGATGAATAAAGTTGTCGACTTAAAATATCAAATATGCGCTATTCACGTAAAAATATACTTCTGTTATCTAAGTATATTTTGATAATGTATGATTTTGGCATGATTTGGTTGCCCAGACAGTGATAATTCATATGCCATCAAAGAGTAGGTGTTTGTCTATACTCTATACAGTCATGTATCCATAAACGTCATATACTAATTATATCTTTGACGGCAGTATGAGCTTCAGTTAGGACGAATTGACCTCAGGGCGAAATGTCTGTATTGATATTTTGACGAAATGACCTCTGGGCGAATTGTCTATTAAAGTACGAATGAAATTACCCCAGGCGAGTATACTCTTACCGTGGAAGGAAGCTTGACGACATAGGGACTCGATAAAGAATTGGAAATTACAGTTATTGCCTTTAGAGCCTTTAGATAAAGTTCATACCACAACCGTTTAAGATGGTTTTACTTTTGATACTCTTACAATTTTTAAATTAACACAAGTAGCATCATATCCAAGATCCCTATACATGTACATAGTATATAGAACGTGCTTAAAAATGCACGTGCATAATTATGATTGACACATATGAAGAAGAACTGGAAATCCGCTTCAAACTTCTCTACCTTTATGATAGGTCATTTCTGCAACTGATTGCGTTAATGGAGACTGGTAATGTCATGCCACCGTGGCTTCAGCCTCTTCTATACAGGGACAGGTCGTGCTTTTCTAGTGCCAATATAACAGTGTCTTTAGTCATATTCTAATACAGAAAACGACAAATAGCAATGCTCTGGTAGCCAACTTTATATTGCCACGATCTTTATTGGACGTAAACGTGACAATGTTCGGTTTTAGTTTGCTACGAGTGCCTGTGGTTTGAGGCGAGGAAAGACTGTAGCATCTAATCAGAGACTCATTATTGTTCTATTCCACGTCTATTTTTTGTCATTTTATCAGCAATGGACGATCGATCGACAATTCCTAGTTAGTTATTAGCACTACAATAGAAATAGCAGATACTTGGACCAAAGTTCGGCATTTACTTGTTAGCGAGTCCGTGATTACGTTTGTAGACTAATTTTCACATTTAGATGAATTTGGCTTCGGGAGACGCAAATGCCTGGATTACGTTAGTGGTTTCCTGAGTAAAGTTTTTGTGTGTGGGATTTTCATTCGATGAGTTGGAATTAAGAGTTTTTTTGGTGAGATAATATTTTTCTATATCGAGTTTTAAGCCGTAGAAGTTGAAAAGAAATACAGGGCTTAGTTTTATGGATTTTTCAATCCGTTTTTTTTTCTTAGATGTTTTACAGTACATATATGTTTTGCGAAAATGTAATTTCTAATTTACTGCCGCATAGAAAACCCCTGGTATAGTGCGACTGTGCAGCGTTTACCGTAAAATACATAAATAACAAATCTTGTGCGTCAATTCTAAGTTTTCGATCTTTCTTGACAAATTTTGCTTCTTCAATTCTTTTTGAAGAAAGTTGTTTGAGTCCTGTCTTTCAGTTAGAATTAGAAATTGAGCTCTAAAACATGTTTCTTTATTTATTTTTTTAAATAGGGTCTTTTCTATGAGGCAAAATTCCTCTCCACTTGAAGTCAGTTAGGTTTTTCATTGCAATGCTTTCGGTAAACTTCAAACGGTAACCACCTTTACAACTATCCCATAAACTAAGCAATATATTTAGCGATATCATATTTATATTTTTAATTTTTAAAACCCAATTTTCTTTTTTCAAATTCGGTATGAGACATTTAACACAGTTTCCTTGATGTAGTTACGGCTCTGTTAACATAATTATTTTTACTCTCAGAAATATCAAATTGTCGTCACGTTTATCAAGTTTGTCTGATAAAATCAATGCAGACGAAGCATGTTTCAAGTAGAGATTCTCTCAACCCTGTTTAATAATAAGTGTTTTTGTCAATCGACTTCGCTTCAGTGGGTGATAATGGAATTTCGTCTTGACATTTGAAGAACATGTTTCGTTATAATTTGAACGTCAATCGAACTCGCTACTTAGAAAATCAGTCAGAATTAATAAAGGGAATGTCAAAACTATTTCCAGGTTTCGCACTGTAATCGAACCCGTAAAGCTGATGTTTGCTTCATCGGATCGTTTAACGCTCATGCTGTCTTTAACGGATTTGTAAAAAAACTAGAGCTATCTTTACCGGATTTGTATAAACTAGAGCTATCTTTACTGGAATTTGTATAAAGCCAATGCTAACTTTATCGGATTTGTATTAAGCTAATGCTATCTTGATCGGATTTGTATAAAGCCAATGCTATCTTGATCGGATTTGTATAAAGCCAATGCTATCTTTATCGGATTTATATAAAGCTAACGTTACCTTTAACGGATTTGTATAAAGCTATTGCTATCTTGATCAGATTTGTATAAAGCTAATGTTATCTTCAACGGATTTGTATAAAGCTAATGCTATCTTTAACGGATTTATATATAGCTAATGTTATCTTTAACGGATTTGTATAAAGCTAATGCTATCTTTAACAGATTTGTATAAAGCTAATGTTATCTATACCGGATTTGTATAAAGCTAATGCTATTTTTATCGGATTTGTATAAAGCTAATGTTATCTATACCGGCTTTGTGTAAAGCTAATGCTATCTTTATAGGATTTGTATAAAGCTGATGCTATCATTAACGGATTTATATAAAACTAATGTTATCTTTATCGGATTGTTTAAAGCTAATTCTATCTTCACAGGATCTGTATAACTAAAGCTATATTCACAGGATCTGTATAACTAAAGCTATGTTTACTAGATTTGTATAAAGCTAATGCTATCCGAACCTGATTTGTGGAAAAAAAATAATGCCATTTATACAAGATTTATTAAACCGGATTTGAACACAACTACTGTTATCTGTACCGGATCATCCTAATATATCTTTCCGGATTTGTATCTATTCTGGTAAAGCTTATCATATATACCGCAAAAGTTAATACTATCTATTCCGGATTTGTCACGAACCAATGTTCTCTAAGCTTATACGGGAAATGTCTGCATTAATCCACAAATAGAAGAGATACGGTGCGGTGTTTTTTCTACTGTATCGATAATCCCGCGCCGGACACCGCACCTCGTTTATTCCCACCTTTATTTGGCAAGCAGTTGTAAAATATGTCATATTCGTCCTGCAGTGACATTTTGGTTTACTCCATATTTGTCCTTGGCATTTTATCCATTTGACATGCCTTTCAGCTAAATGCGCCTTAGATCACAACGCAGTAAAAATTGTCAAAGATTTACAATGTCAAGCTGTAACGAACTGCGTCTTATACCTTGACAGCAGTAACTATCTTTCTTATCACAGCATGTTTTAATGTAGCGATTTGATTGGTTGGATTGTATACAGAAAGGCTGTAAAGAATAAGCGTTAATAATGTTATAGTCTTTCGGGGACTCTGATTGGCTGTATTCGCTAGCGTACATTCCAATCAAATCGCTGCATTCCTTGATACAAGAAAGGTGGCTGTCAGGGTATACGACAAAGTTCGTAATGGCTTGACATTATGAAGATGGAGTGGATCTGAAAGAATTCCATCCACTCATCCATCCATAAATCAACCCACTTGTACAACCCTCCATCCAACCATCCATCTATTCATTTATCTCAACCCTTCCCACCTGTGCATCCATTCATCCATCCACCTGGACAACCATCCATTTATCTATCCAGCCAACCATCAATCACCTATACCATCAACCCACGGTCTGTGCATCTATCCATACAACCATCTGTCCACTTATCTATCCACCCAACCATCAACGTGTAGAAACAACTATCTACCTATCTAATCATCCAACCATATACTCACCTATCCGCCCAACCAACCAAATCATTTATTCACCCACCTACTCATCGACTCCCCCTCCCCCCACATCCCCTCCTCTCCAACCATAGAGGTTAAAAGAAGTAAACCCAGGACATCTAAATTGATCTACAATTTTCATTGCAGCAAAGCGAATAGTTTGGTGTAAAGCGTAGTGTTTCGGACAATTCTAAGCTGGTATTTAACAAGTAAAGAATCTGATTTGCAATTCCATAGAGAATTGAGACAGACATTGCATATATTAATCTTTTATTGTGTCAAGAAATAAAAAGGAAATACGTGAACGCCATATTTTACAGTGTTAGTGTTTGACAAGAATGAAGGCATTAGTGGGGTTTTCGATATTTTAAACAGAAACATATCGGAACGAAATTCTTTACTGATTGGAGTGTTTTGTATCGTGGAAAATACAGTCAGGCTTGGGAAAGATCATTCCTGGATTGTGGTGAACAAAGCTTGGTAAAAAATTGTGGGTGTCGCAGCTCATAACGACCTGAACATTTATTGTTAACTGAAATAAAGGACATTTTCATTTGGAGGACAACTGGAGCTTTAGATGTGAAGCACTTTTGGGGATAATTATCTTACGGTACGTATGATTAAATGTGTTTCTACTGATTTGATTGTCTGGATAATTCAGATTATGACTTTCTATTACCATTCCAGTCTGGATAATACGGTCTAGGATTAATCAGAACTCAAGCTCTACCCACAAGTCTGGACTTATTGTGAAAGTCGAGCAAAAACTGACTTTCGCGCAACAACGTAACCAAATCCGACATTTTGTCTCATAATTCGAAAAATATAGGTCATTTAAAGCCAGATTTTTTGGAATGGGGATTCTACCACATAACAAAGCTCTTATAAAAATTTCGAATTCCAAATCGATAAGATTTTGTCAAAAATTGCTAATTTTTGTACAGTTAGATGCGAGTAATTCCGAACAAACCGTGACTGTAAGGTTCAGAATGTGCCGACTGATTAGACCAATTATCACCAATCAGTGTCAATCTGATTGAATTTAGCTCGGTTTATAAATGCTAATTGACGATTGGACGATCAGGATTCGGAATTAAGACGGCTAAAGTCAGTCAGTAATACGAAGCTTAGTTTTCTTCAAATGCCTTACCTTACGAAAATCTGGTCAAATATGAAGTAGAATTGGACGTTCTCTTTGCATTTTGAGCCTAGAATTAAACTGAAATGGAGTTTTTTGTCTGAATTTTCTGCACTTAATTGTGTTTGTGAAGTGTGTGATGAAAATTTTGCCAGGATAGCAGCATAGGCCTGCTCTTTTTCAATTTCCAAATGTCGAAGAATATTTACCGTGCATAGCCTGTAGCACACGGGGCCTCAGTTTATCGTCCCATCCGAACGACTTGACGTTTTTCCCCAAGTCAGCACCCCCATCCCCTACCTGCATCCTAAACAAAAAATCCGGGAACATGAAATGGAGTTTTACGTCCTAATATCAACGTGAGATAAAAGATAAGATTATTGATTGGGTGTGATCATGTAGTCTAGAATAGACCAGACAGTAATCTGGTCCTCATTTATCAAGATATTACTTATAAAACATGCAATTTATAATCCCCGATCAATTATGCCCCCAGACTTAAAGATGGATTTCCTGATTTTTAAGTAACAATTCATTAGCAAACCTTCAAAAATAACCCATTGCTCAACATTGTCTCTCCAACCCGTTCTAAAGTATTAAGAAATTTCTACCGTGTTTCACTTAAGTAGGTAAACCTCGTATAATAAATAGAGGAAAGATTAATGATGTCACGTGATTTTGACCTGTCCAATCAACTCACATTTATATACGGTTTGATTTGTAAATATATTTAATGGATTGATTTATCGGAGTGCTTGGGGCAGGCTAATGTCGCTGTCCTGGCACAATTTCCCTCATTGCACCCTGCATGGCGTTGCCCGTCATCATTAGCCCACATGGTGCAGAGAAGTAGGACGTAAAACTCAATTCATTTCATTTCTGGGTAGGTCCAACAAAAAGTTATACTCTTATTGGCCAAGTTTGAAAATCTAAATTATATGCTCATTCTAAGAGGTGGTTTACCTTTGAAGAGTTAACTGGTGCACCTCTTTTAAAATATTATGTTATAGCATTTCGGTTTAGATTAACTGTTAAAAAATTTACGTTCTGAAAATAGCTGAAAATTTTGATATATATGTTCCGGAAACGAACACTTAGTTGGTTTTATCCTTTTAATAAAACGAGATATTGCCTGCTAGAAAGGATTAAAGTAAAAGTACGGGTTTGTAATCTATACAAAAAAATGGCGGATAAATGTCAAATGCGCTTTTTAAAGCTACTTACTTTGACAGTATCTTGGCATGTGAATTTTTATTTGTGTACATTCTGACAACAGAAACTTTCCATTGAGCCAGGAAATGTTCTTTGCAGCTTTAAGCAACCATATTGCTATTAGTTTCGTGAATTTCCTAAGGTGCAAGACAATGTTTCTAGTGTATTCCTTGACAGTTGGAAATCGAATTATAGAAGTCTCATGACACTCTCCAAATCTCTCTTATTGCACACCGAATGGTGTTATTCCAGAATCCAGTTGAATCCGATAATCAAAAATATTTATGAAATTTATATTTCAGAGTTCACAATATCAATAAAAATCCAAGATGGCGTCTCAAGGGAAGCAACCCATGTGTCGTTCATACTCAACAACCGGAAATCCAGATAGACCCGACGAAACAACAGCAGATCAGTTGGAACGCAAACCCGTCAAAGATCACAGAACGCAAGCACGCTTAGCAGAATTCAAACGTAGCATTTCAGACGGAGGCTACACTCATTCGGAATTACCGAAAAAGGAAAATGCGTCACGTGGACCTAGTGGTTTAGCCAATGAAAAATCGCCAACCGGGCAGACGTCAGATGACGTCAAAGGTAATGGCGACACCGGGGATGGGACTAACGTGAAGAAAATGATATCGGAGCTGGAATTGATGTGATCACGTGAGAGTTATTAGGTTATATTTGTATAATAATCGTGTAAAGTTGTTTTTGTGGTTTGTATATGTGGAAGTTCCCTCTTAAAGTTGTGTTGTATAGGTCCGTAAGTTAAAACAATTGTATATAACCAACATAATATATGTCAATCGACACTTACTAGCACTTTAATGTTTCTTCAAAGTCTTTAAGTTATCAAATAACGTGTTATAACCTAACTGATAACTTTTCAAGTTGGCAATTTCCAAAGATCGTGGGATAAGCAATGCATCTAATTGCAGTTATATGTTAATTCCACTGGTTCTCTAAAAAAAAAGTTGAAAATAACAGCAGGTCGTTGTAGAAGGATAAGCTTACTGATATATCTATGGAAGTGGAAAGATCTCGAAATGGATAAGTGCATGGTATTCGTGCAGTGCTGAGTTGATAGGAAACGTAAGAGAAACGTCGACACTTATTCTTACTTTAAGTCATGTGTTATCGAGTCGAATTAACTTGGTTCCTGGTTCAACAAACCTTGAGAAAATTGAATTAAATAGAACAAAAAGAAAGCCACCGAGGCAGTCCCGACAAGTTCGAAGCTTCAACTGCCTACATAGATCAAGCTTTACGGAAACAGCCGAGGATTGCCGAATGTTATTCTCGCTTTAACGTTTTTGTATGCCACTGAAATGAATAATTATTTTATGATATCAGACCATTTTTGTCAAAATCGGCACTAATTCCTGCTATAATGTTCAATGCAAAAATTTCCTTCATTATGAATATGGTGTTACTACACCGAAAAAAACTGACAGAGCAGTAAGCTAAATACTCCATTGCGTTTCACACATTTCCCTGCTTCTTATTAAGAATTCCGTGTTTTGTACGAATCTTCACAGAAAATACTAATTAAATAGTGTCGCCTGAAGAAATAGATATTTCCATTATTCATATTTCATTAGCGTCGCTATTGTAAATAATATTAAAAATGTGTCTGCTTGGAACGCATTCCTGACATTTTTGGATCAAACAAGACTTCAAGGAAAAATGTACGGAAGCATAAGGTGGCCATTTTTGTTCTCTTACAATCCGACTTATTTTCTCCAAAATACCATTTGAATTTGCGAGTTGTTAAGTCAAATTTTCGAGTTATTAAACCGAATTATCGATTTACTAAACCGAATTATCGATTAACTTAGTCGAATTATCGATTTACTAAGTCGAATTATCGATTAAATAAGTTGAATTATCGATTTATTAATTCGAAATTTCGAATTGCTAAGTTGAAATTTTGATTTAGTCAATCAAGTTTTTGAGGTATTCATCGAAATGACCTACGTCGATGGTTTTTGGGAAATCAGAGAAAAGAATGCCGATGACAAGTAAATGTTCGCTTTAAACAGAAGTTGTTATCGCTGAAATAATGGGCCCAGGACGCTTCCGTACATAATAAACCCTATCCCAATGCGTGTTTGGCATGTGATATAACAGTGTCATTTTGTTGTCAGGTTAATTAGATGACAAAACCTAGTCTCTAACATGTAATAAGGATAACTACAACATCACAGGGAATTGTCCATGACAAAACATGGGTTGAAATTCCAGATCTTGGCAGTCCGAAACATTCTAACTTTCAAGGCGAAAATATGTGATTTAAAATCCCATGTATGTGGACAATCTCTTACAAAACAATACTTAAAGGGATTGTAAAGAGGTTTTCTAAACATTTTATGTGTATCAGGAGAACTGATGGCATCAATTTACATCATTTAAGTTTTCAGTCGGATGTTTGTGGTTCTTGATGTTAAACTACGCGCTTGCAAATAGTTGTAAAGCTTGAGCCTTTCCAAAATGCTTAATAAACCTCGCGGCAAATTCATATCCGCAAACCCGGAAATGACGTCTGCAGTTGTTGTGCAATGTGAATTTTGGGTAATTCAAAGCGAAGCTTTTCGCCATATACCCACTTTAAGGTTCGAACAGAAACCCTTTTTTAGAACTTAATTAGTTTAATTGTATATTTTTGAAATATTCTCGAATTTCAATGTAGCCACGAAATGTCACGAAATGATCGAAGAATATGATCCCTGGTTTCCATGGCAACCTTTATATAATGCAATCTTCAATGTAGATATTGAAATCCCATATTTAGTCACTAATTGTTCATTAATAATAAATACTCATTAAATTGTGTTTATTTCGCAATATTCTGTTTATATTGGGTACATTTGGGATTAAAGTGATTGTCTGTTGAACGTCTGTGGATTAAAAACGAAGCATGAGTCTTTATTATCTGTAAATTTGAATATGGAATTAATAATCTTGATGTGGTCATGTCAAATTGACCAGACGACAAATCGCCCAGCGTCAATTGGTTCTTACGACAATCAGTAATATTGTTTTCGTCAAGACGAAGGCTAGTTTAAAATAACAAACTTCGCTAGCAGTTATGACTAAACCCTTATGCTGTTGACATTCTCTGGTCACAATGTTAACTGGCTTGTGACAGCAAGGGTCATATTTCGAAAACTCATTACCCTTTGCTTCAAAATTTTTTTTTATGGCTGCTGAAACGCATGCATTCCTTCCTGCATCATACAAAGAAATCTCGACATTAAATTAACAGTCAATTTTCTTTTATGGCATTCCAAAACAATCTGCAATCCTTTGATAAAATGCACATGTTAATCAAGTAATGGCGGACATGCTTTGTTCCTTTAATTTACTGCAGCAGATTCGCGATTAATCGTCTAAACCAACCGATAAACTATAAACCAACCGATAAACTAACACATAAAATACATTAGTGATCATCTGGCCTTCCCAGCCATAAATAATTAAAGATCTGACAAGAAAATTGCTATTGATGCATTCGATACATCGTGAAATTATGTAACTTCAAACGAATTTGACAGAAAGTAATCTCTGTCGCATTCGAATCACCAAAGCCTTCTTTGAACTGTACAAAAACTCATAAATTCAGTCCCTTTGTTGCATTCGAAACAATTTGTAATAAATGTGTTCAGAATAACCTGATTCGTCAACTCTATATTCGATATATTGTGAAGTCATGAAAATTCAACACTGTTTAAGAAAAAAATGGTTGTTCGCAAGCGTCGCAGAATTGCGGAACTCGACTGATAGTAATATTTTGTCAGCTTTGGGATTAGCGTGATCGACTTCACAATCGTGACCACGAGTGGCAATATGTTTAGTTACTAAGTATGTTTTGACAGAATTGGAGTGAGAATGTCCAAAGCTTGACATTAGTTGCCTTTTGATATCGACTTATCATGCGTGTTTGCTATGGTTTTCAACATTCTGATCACAGACAGACTGACAATATACCAAATACCACTCTCTGTGACTTTGAGCGGCCATGTTTAATTTTTTGTGGGCGTTGCTTCGATCTTGAATGCATTGCTATCTTTAGATTATGATAGAGGCATGAAAATAACCAACAGAGCCCTTTGCTGTTGATAACAAACTCGCACTCTTAACAAATTTGTTACATGAATTCTCGAAGTTGATGATTCACTACGTTCTTAGTCATCAATGGTGACTCATTGTCATCGAAGCCCATTCTGCTATTTAACCAGATACTACAGTTTCGTATTGGTTTTTTTTAAAAGACTCCATACAATTTATTCCAAATATCGTGTAAAACTGACATTAATAGAAATCGATAGCAAACGAAAGTGAAAGTCCAAATCTATATTTTACATCCTAAACTAAATTAACTTTGACAACTTGTTGAATCTCTCGTCTGTCACACTATTGACTCTGGCATATGGTCCGAAATGTTCTGTTTTATCTTAGTTTAACAGATTTCAATTTGGAAAGTCAAGAGAATTTTGAACTTCTTGCGAGTCTCTATCAACACGCTGACAACTAATTCCAAACTTACCGTTATAGTTTCCAGGAGAAATAATTTTGCCAATTTAGTCTTACTGGGGACGTCTTCGGGTTATGATGGCTACTATTGACAGTCATCGATCAGAAAAACCAGTCCTACTGCTTGTCACTTTTTTTACTCTTTCAACTTTTTGAAAATCACGTAGCTGGTTGCTCACTGGTACTACTGTTGAAAATACGTTCCCAAATTCAGTGCAAAGGTTCGGTCTTAATTTCCTTATCGGAGGCTAAGAACCTGAAGGTTTCGGACTAACTGACGACAGAATTTAAATCAATGAGAAATTATTGACTGGAATAGACTTGTGTCCTTGGTCGTCACGTTGCCTGATTCGACACGTTAGTCAAAATAACGATAATGATTCCAAATGGTTTACGAATTAACATGTTATTCACCTCTGATAATATGGGATGTATAAACCTAAGGAGTTACGTAGAACCTCTCAAAGATGCACTGAGTTGACACACCAAATTGCAGAGTGGTATAGGTGTTAGCCTGTTAGGTAATACGTACCGTTGCTCTAAATTGAATGCATTGTAAAAGATTACATTATGTCCGTAATTCGATTAAAAAGGGCACAACCGGATGTGACGATCACAATTTCTCCTATATACAAAGTTAAGCAAAGGAAACTTTTGAAATCAGAATGCTGTTGTGGAACATGTGCAATGTTTAGTTTCCGGTTTTTTTGCGATAACTCGCAATCGAAACGAAATAATAAGAGCTGCCTTTAAATCAGATATGGCCAAAGGTGAACTTGAACAACAATTGCCACGTCTGACAGAAAAATAAACAAAATTACGTAACAACATTTTATATCATATGGCAATAAATTAATATAAATCTATAAAGCATAATCACGTGATCAATTAGGACAGTCAATCCAGTTAAAATTATCACTTAAACAGTTTTTATTGACGTCACTCCCGCCGCCATTTTGAATTTCGTTGTTCGTTAGCGGCATCACATTTCTTCCCGCACTTTTTCTCATATTTCTGTCGGAGCAGACTTCCCCGTCCTTGAGATCTTCTGGCGTCAATTCTATATTTGGAGGAACAAAGTCAGGTGACCACATATCGTCACTCATCGACCAATGAGAAATGGCGTTATTTGTGTCACTGTTGTTACGGCTGATCCTATTGGTTCGTTCTGGCCTAGATGAAAAATTGCCTGAAAATTCTGAAATAAAAAAAGGATGTCTATATGTATAAGAGCTTCAAATACGAAACCAAGGTTTTTACAAATTAAATGCCCTATTCCTGAGGACCATTTTTTACGATTCAAATTCCAAAGGAAAGGTCGTTGACGTCAAATATACCCGCCAAATTCATAGATGCCTTACCTTTGTTTACAATAGGAACTGGAAATGTACCAGGTTTCTGAACCGGAAGTTCTGAATCAGTTACTTCCCCTTCTGATGACCAAAGCGAATCTTCGTCTCGTTTGTTCTTGAACCATTTCTGTACTGTTTTCAACTCGAGCTCGATCTCGGTGGCTACTGTAGTCAATATTTTATGGGATGGATGTCTGCAATGGTTGAACAGTGCTTCCAAGATGGTCGTTTGGTGGTCGGACATGAATATCCGGGCTCTTTTTGGTGAAGGTTCTGATTCACTGTCGCTGACTTCTGAAAAGTGATGAAAATTTTAAGAGATGAAATAGAGTGTAGTTTTACGTCATAGTTTCCTCATACAGATTGGGCTTATTCGGAGGAGGAATTTTGCGAGGACAGGGATGTTAAATTCTCATTTTAAATTCCAGCTGTCGGGTTATCTTTTGCGTACACAGTCTGTAGCAATATTGTCTCATTCAATGAAAAGAAAATTCATGGCATCCTACCTTTCTCTTTGGCAATGTCGTAATCTTGGCGACATATTAATTTCCCATCATCCCTCAGATAGAACTCGTCACCAGTGTTCAATTCTACGTCACATCCGATACATTTAAAACAGGCAGGATGATAGATCTTCTCGTGGGCACGTCTGACTTGTTCTGTGGGCGAAATGGGTTGGTTACATCCGGTACACCTGGCTCCAAACAACCTGAAAAGAGCAATCCATTGGTTATCACTTGAAGGGGCGTAACTCTAATCAGTCGAATATTAATGAATTCCATTGTGATCTCGTAGAATGACTCGTGGCTGTACTGATTTTGAAGCATTAGGAACAATCTCAAAAACACAGCATCGCGTTTGTGAGTTCGCTGAAGTCGAGTTGACAAGTCATGTAGTAGAATGGCATCGGGTGTTCTTAAAGGTTAAAGATAAAGGATTCTCGCTACGGGTACTCACTGTGAAATTAGATAGTCGTGTAAGTATACATGTAGTATAATGTTTTCTGAAAAGCACCAATGCTTACCTGAAAAAGTCGTCCTGGCAGAAGACTTGAGATCCGCGAAGAAAACAGTCACGTGTTAAAGTCAGGTGACAAGCTGTGCATCTCAAACATGCTGCATGCCACAAACGACCTTGAACTTTGAGTATAAACTGATCTAAGATGGCTTGGCCACATCCGGTACATGGTGGTGGTCCTGAAATAGAAGAAAATTTTGAATAATTGGGTTTTCTGTAAATTTAGCAAAATCAAGGGGAAGATAACTGAGGTTGGCCTTCTTGTGCATACAAAAGTGTCTTGGTGATAGAGACTGAAAGTGCCTAAATGTCCAGGTTGCAACACCGAGTTCTTCTATTTTGAAGTCGGTTTCATTGTCACACCATTTGGCTTGAATACAGTAGAATTCATTCTTACCATTAACATCAAGATGGCTGCCAATATATCCTGATTCTCCTGGCAACGAAGAGGAAGTTGGTAAGGCAGCACTTCCGGTCATACTTGGATCACTATAGTCCGTTTCATTTAACATAATCATGATGTTTGATATATCCAGATTTGGAGTTATGTCCTATTTTCAACAAGCTGATAAATGTGTGCGTCAAACGGAAACAATTTAACAGCAATTCCAAAATTGACAAAACAACGTCGGTATACGATTTAGCAATGGATGTCAAAAACACTGTTCAGGATACCTACAGTTCTAAACGTTATCCAAATAAATCAAAATCAAATTTTTTCTTAAAAATTCACAAATCCTTTTAATGGAACACAAGACATATCCTTCGATCCTTCGTCTTAGTCCTTTTATACGATCCAAAACTTCAACTTGAAGCAGGTGTCTTTCTAGTTTTCAATGCCCGCTTATACGAGTGAAAACGGCTTCCAAAATCTGCAACCACAAAAGGCTGAACGATCCAAGATGAATTAGGCGTTTGAACGCTCAAGAACTATGCAATAGATTCCAATTCTAATGTAGCACAAATATATGGTTTCCCCTTTACTCCGATCCTCAGTGGTGGTAGGTGTCTCGATACAATGATGGTTTGACTTCATCCTGTGTTTCTATATACTTTTTGCTAGACCCGTTAATTACGGCTTCGGTTCACTGATCAGATAATCAGACATCTTATTTCTTCAATCATAATTTCATTCATCATTCATCTCATATTTAACAACCAATCAGCATTGAGTATTCAACCTCTTGACCAATCACAGCCTCTCTCGCCATTATCCTCTTGATACCCCTTACGTCATCAAGTATGTCTGAAAGTTCTCACGTGTTAATTCGCGGATTATTTTATAGCCTCGATTAATGCGGTATGATCCTTTTCAATTGGTTGTCAATGGGATGTTATGGTACTTGACGATTGAGGCTTTGTCTGGAAATATCTAATGTGAATTATTTTGAGCAGAAAATTGCAATTTTCATGTCTGTGGTTAAAAAATCCTGAACAAGTAAGAAAACTCTCCAGTCAGTGTCAGGGAGTCTAATATAAGAAATCCTCCTTAGAGATTTGACCATTAGATTTAAACTGAAACCAATCACTAGCGTAAATTGTAATTTAGAAGTTATATTTGGATAAAATATCTCGTATCGACCTTTTAATTAAGTCCCAAGTCTCTAATTGGCACTGATTTTACCAGCCCCAGTGGGTCGTGTCATTATGAAATACACAAGAGACAAATAATATGAATATTAGTGTGTGTACGGTATATGATATTTCATTCATTCTTATTCAAATGCTATTATATCTTTGTATAGCTGGCGCTCTGAAATCCAAGTCCAAAAAAAGGAATCCCTTTTTCAGCTTCATTAGATAGCTTCGAATAAAGGGTGCCGTTATTGAAGCAGAAAAATTTGATCTTTTCGGAACACCGGATGCCTTCTTTGAGTAGATTATGGATCATCCCAACCGTCTCCCTGGCTATTAATACGGGTTCGGGGTGGGAGAGAAAAATTCCAGTTGTTCTGAAGAAACGTCGTTAATAATAAATTTCCATAGTGCCTCCACATTTGGAAATCAGATGCGGCTGTCGCTGATCAATATTTCACTGCTATCCATTGGGTGGTATTGTCCTTCTTCAAAAAGCCTTGAAGGAACAGAAAAGGACGTCAATGACATTCCATTAATTTTTATTTCAATAACAAGAAATGTTAAATTATCCATATGGCTGAAATAATTTAGACATGGAATATTAATGAGTACGTTATTATTCGCCAATTAATTCGCATTTGAAAATTTGACTAAATTACAAACTTGACGGTGGAATGATAACATCGATAATCTACTTTAATCCGCTTAATCAGGGCATTAGTCTTAATCTGATACCTTTATTGTCAATTCTTAAAAGAGTAATTACTCTTCTTTTCTTGACCACTAATCTTATTTCGTGTTTTACCTTCCGTTTTTGTTCTCGGTGTGAAATTTGTACGAAGCCGTCTGTCTAATTGCCACTTAGATCGTCTGAAGAAGTACACATAAAGTGATTACGTCATTCAATATGTCTGGTTTCTTTATTAACAACTTCTAATGATAAAGGAAGTCGATTTTAACAATTACTTGTGATTTTTATCACCATCAAATTGAAAAATGATGATTTTGTGTTGATTTTAAGGATGGGGAAGTGCCGTTTGTTTAATGAAATGCTCACACCCGCAATATTGGTGTTTGCGTCTCTGGAAAGCTCTGTGCTAATTTTTACAGCTTAAATATTTTGATAATGGTCTCAACGGAAGGGAATTATTGCATATTTAGGTCCATATGCCAGTGCCTTCTGTTGAATTGTACCTTGTTACCTTTCAACCACCCTAATCTTAATACTCAGTAGGACGTACAACTCCATTCATTTCATTTAATCTTGATACTTGATTTTACTTATGAATATAATTAAGTTCCGTTAACGTAATGTATACAATGAAAATTGCCTAGAAACTGTTGATCGAAAACTCCTAAAAGTTGAACGCATCCGCAGCCTCACTTGAATATATTGTATTTCAGATCTTTTAACGTATTACATACAGTAAAAACTGTGTGAACGCTCAAAACCGTTGATCGAATAGCAGCCCCGTCGCTAGAAATGAATTGGTTCTGGGTCTCAGATTTTTTACAAGAGAACTGATTTTTGACAATTATTTTGAGGTGCTAAAAACGTATCAAAATCTATATCTTTTTGATTTTGTACAAAGACACTGTAAATGAATCAATCTCTGCTGAACTGAAGAAGGTTTTGCTGGGGCTTGATACTCACTTGCTGGGGCCAGTTCCCCACGGACCCCATCCTAACGACGGGGCTGTCGAATAGTCAAACATATGAACTCACCAAAGATCTGAACAAGGCATAATAAGGTTGGATTGCTTTCGTTGCATCAGTAACTGACCACAATAGCCCCATATATAAGACATGCATGCAAATGTTTTCATTCTTGTAAGGCTTTGACGAAATTTTTACGAACGGGCTACTATTTTTTGAAATAACAGTGTCTAAGATTAACTGTAGTCTAGAGTCAGTGACGAAGTCTTATAATAGTAGTCTCCCTTTTCATGTAATGCTTAAATTATGCTCAGTTATAAGCATACATGGTTGTGGGTTTTAGCTTTTCGCCGTTATTGAGAGTTTTCTCCCTTTCTACAAAGGCTCTAAACAAGGTATCGCCATTTTGAAAGTGCATTGTGGCAGACCACACGCAAATTTCGGGCAATTAAAAAGTGATTAAATCATATGCATATTAATTTTATGTCCTCTTTTCTTTTGTTTTCTTTTTGCTCCAGAACGAATCGGCCTACAAATGCAGTCTAAAAATGACTTGCCCACAATCCTGCCCGAATATTAATATCTTAAGTGTGGGAAGGCGAATTCGGTCGCGCCTATACCATCTTCACCAAAAGGTCAGTTTATTGAAGATTACCTTAGCAAAAATCTTGGCCTAAGTTATGCTCTTTGATTGGTTGAAACTAACGTCAATAAAAGGCGACAGCGATAGAAAACTTGTTAGAATACAATGGAGATGAAAAAAAAAAATCCGAAAAAAACGTACCTGTTATCTAATTATAATTTGATTGATAAAGGGGTAACCTTCTTTGTCTTTGAACGACTAGAGGTGGAATACTTGAACCCCCGCCTACGAGTTTCTGCATGTGACAGTCGGCTTAAAATGGTTAATTAGAATATCACGATATGTTTGTGTAATATTTATATTTGTTGTTGTCAAAAATAACCTGACTAAAAACAGACGGATAATATTGCCAAGAATAGATCTGCTCTGTAGGCCTTTTCGTGTTATGCCGCTTGTCTTGTCAACAGAAATGTGAAGATGGTTGCAAAGTTATGGTTTCTATAGGCAGATTTATATATGTCGAGATTGTCCAGTCTGATGTCTGATAGTTATACAGGTTAGAGGGACTGACACGTCTGAATGGGACAATAAACCGAATAGAAGCCCAGTGTGCTACAAGCTGTGTAGTACACGTTAAAGATCCCTCATAATTTGGAAGTGGAACTAGAGTAGGCAAATGGCGCTGGCATGGTCTGCCACCACCTTGAGGTTCTAGAACACAGTCGACTGAAGCGTAGGTTCTTATCATTACGTTATTTGCATGGTTACACCGAGCAAATAGCGGCTATGGGTTCTAATCTCGATCGGCGTATGAAAGTCCGATGACCTTGATTAAGTCATCTTTACTCATAATTCCAGTCGACCCAGTTGTAAATGGGTACGGATAATCTGGGAATGATCAATGCCAAGAGGTTTGGTCAAGGACCAGCTGGTAGGAAGGATCCTTAACTGTGAACCTATGTTGTTATCCTTGTGAAATATAGTTGTTTCTTTCATTTCAGGTCGGTGCTTACATTTCTAAAATATAATTTAATAATTCTGAACAAAATATTTAACTCCGAGAAAAAGGCATATAAGCTGTAAAAATACAGGACTATATTTGGCATTAGACCTGCCACATAGTTTCTGTTATTTGTACAATAACATTTCGACAGTGAATCGAAAGATAGATGGACTATTTGCTGTTATTTGTTACTCATCTGGTAGCCTGTAGCTATCAATTTGAGGTTTTCTGTAATTTTACAGTAATATTTTAACAAAGCTGCAAACTTGCCATCTATGTTCTGTATTTTTACAGAGATATTTTAACAGCGAATCTTAATCATAAAGAGGGCAAATTTCAATAAATTTGTTATC